CACTCAAAATGTAATAAAGGCACATGTGCCAAAAAGTATTCAATACCTCGAAAGAAGACAAACAAGAATCAAAAAAACTTATGACGTGAAGAAAATAAAGAAAAAATGGTACCAATCCGGTATAAATTGAGCACAGACTGCCCAACATATGTACTCTTATTACTTTCACAATAAATAACTTAAGCGGCATTCGTCATATAATTTTCTAAGACAAACAGTTGCCTTTCCGGTAACACCTTCCATAAAATAAATAACAACTTGACCGTGAAGTGACTCACATCTTAGTAACAAGAAAATATACAAACAGTTAAGAGGACAGTTATAAAAATACTAGCATTATACTCCACGAAGACACATACTGAGTTCATCAGCAGTCTACCGGTTGTAAAACTATGATAGTTACGCCAAGGTTGCACCAGAAAAAACTATGTCAGGAAATTGCGCAAATCAAGAAATGATAAATGCAGCTAAGCTCAGCACCAACTTCAGATCAAGGCAATTTCCGTCCAAGCCTTGTCAGCTAAAAACAGTTAGAATTTTTCGACTTTTTAATACAATTAAAAAAATTATTATTTCACCGGAAAAACACAAGTGATATTTGAATTTTCTTCTCCATCAAAGAATAAGTTATAATTAAAATAATACCTGATCTAAAAATTGCCTCGGCGTAACCAGTTCTGTACAACCGTAAGTGACTCTTGCAAGTCCCTTTGTCTTTCCGTATTCCACTAAATTTTGGAACTCTACATAATTCCCTCCACCGATAACAAACACAATCACGTCGTGAGCCGGACCCATTGAACGACTCCTCTGCGAACTAAAAGAAGACGGTTTAATTACAGGCTAGCAAAAAATAATCACAATGAAAATCTTACTCTCGTCCGGTAGGATGTGTCAACTTCGGGTCAAAGTAACGATATTCCTCTTCCGCTGATTTTGAAACTCCTTGTGAGCCAGAAATTAAAGTGTCAACCATCTTCAAAATTTCACGGTAAAGCAAATAATTTTTTGGAAAAACAAACTTGAAAAGGAAAAACGATTCTGTGTGTTTTGCAAACAGATGCTATAAGATCCAGAAGGATAAAATTGAAAAGCAACAATCCTACTAGTACCTTTGTCAGTGGAAGATTGTGCTTCTTTGGCACAAGATTTTTAACACCTTCCATAAATAGCTGAGAGCCTCGGTTTAGCAAGTTGCTAAACATACTATCCGTTTTAGTACCGCCACCGGAGTGATCTGCTGCCACCCGGTACATGTTGGACACTGACCTAAAAGTATAATTGACTGATGGAAGTAAATCATTATAAATATTTTATTCTAGGTGAAACGCTAACCTCAACTGCTTGATAAATTTAACAGCAGACTCGTCAACACCAACTTCTTTCAAATATCCAATTTGTTCCTCAAGCTCCGCCTATAATTTTTGCAAAGTCTCAACGTTAGCCCAGAAATAAAGAAATAATTTCCTTACCTCCGATACGTTTGAAGCACTGAGATAATTAAGAATCATGACACGAAGTGCGTCTTCGTGATGAGAACAATTCTTCATCAGATCGAGAACTGAACTGTCACAAGCTTGCTTATTCAAAATTTTTTCTTCCGCTTCAAAAAGAACATCCAGCTTCCTCAAAAACAGTAAATTTTAACACCTGTGACAAAAAGTTTATAACAGAAAATAAGCTCTCCTTCAAAAATTAATTGGAAAACCAAATACAAATTACATTACGTAACTATATTGGATATTCCGTGGAAAAACTGGTAAGTAAGAAGTACCTTTGTTTTATATGATCAAGAACACAGGTAGCCACATTAGTATGCAAATCAATTAAACGCTTCTTCTCTAACAGTTCTGGTAAGGAAACAATCGTAGATGACAATTTTGCGGTAGCGTTTGATAGCAGAGATACAGTTTCATCTGATTCATCATCATCGACACCCTTAAATGAACCGTTAAATTAAAAAAATGCAAAAATATAAAACCCGAAAGAATTCAAAAAACAAAGCCGCACTGGTTAAAAAAAAAACATTCAACAACATACCATAACACTTTTCAGCCTTTTAATCTCATCACCACTATTTTTATAAGCTTCAACTTCACCCTGAATTGCTTCAGCAACTAGAGGAAATGCGCTACCCTTGTATTCCATCCATAACTTATCATTGAAGGTCATGTCATACTCCTTCATTTTTCCATTCTTACCTTTCATAAGTATTCTATTTAAATCGAACTCCTGAACAACCAAGAGACATTGATTTGCACAAAAATGTAAAAAATGGTCCATTTTAAAAAACTTTATGAATGAAGCAACTTTACCGATCTTTCGCACTTTGTTAAAAAAGGAAAAATATCTATTTCACAGCTAATCTATTTCTTAATACCCTTGAAACAGAAAAAAGGAGTAATCGTACACAGAAAAAGTTTCAATGAGGAGCGAATAGAAACGGTAAATATGAAACTAATTAGGACATAAAGAATGGAAAGCACAGACCAAAACGTCATGTATCAGAGCCTGATATGTCCATGTATGTTGCAGCATCGTTGCCAGGTCGATACCACGATCAGCAATTACAAGCACTGGGCGATGAACGTTCAGCTGTCCAGCCCGAACATTTTCACGAGCAAAAAAACTATTACGCGCATCACGAAAATTTTCGCGCAGCTTCTGGTCCAATCGCTGCAAAACTTGCAGGATACTAAAACACCGGCCACAAATAGAAATAAAGCTGAGACAGTAAAAAATAAAAACGAGATAGCTCTCTTGACTAGATCAGTGCTGAAAGAAATCGTGCTAAGTTTTAAAGCTTGGCAGCAAAGGGAAGATCAAAACTTTAACGTACAACAGCAACTTGTTCGGCAGCATTGTCTTTTGGACACCTTATAATAGGAATTATTCCAAGGGTTGCGCAAACAGAATACAAGGCGTCGACAATTGAGTTAATCAAGGCTTCCATTTCCTCATTTGTAACAGATGGATCACTAATGGCTGCAAAATAAAGCAAACAGCTCTTTGAAGAGCAAAATAAAAAAGGTAAAATAAATTCAAATTAATGACTATTACAAATCAGCTAACCGCCTATGTCAAAATTAAAACATAAAAAACTGCAAGCTCCAAGTTGTCTAAAATCATTACATATTAAATATACTAACCAAAAAACGAAAAAGGACTCTTTTCGCTATAACGTCGCAGAACAAATAAGTTGTCTTCTAAAGATATAAAATTAAGAAACTGGTCCGTAAGCTGAAAATATAAATAAAATAAAAGACATCTAAAGAATGTACAGGTAAGGGCAATACAGCCAACGAAGAATTACATTAGATCTAAGTATTTGAAGAGAAGAAAAATCAATAAATGTAAGTTAAAGAAAAAACCAACTTTTTGGACTTGTTGTAACGAACTACTATAAACTGCGGCAGAAGCAAGCTGTTCAAGCTGCGGCCTGCTAAGCGGATGAATCATATTTACGTAATAACTATCATACATCCTCTAAATAGCAACAGAATTGTGACTAGTAAATGGACAAATAATAGAAGCTCTATCAGAGTAACTTAGAAAAAAAAAACAATTACGCTTGACATCAGAATTACTCGCATATTCCTTAAGATAAAAGAGCAAGTCCCTCAAAGACAACGATACGAGAAAACAATTTTATACCTCTGCAGAAGAAAATAGAGTTTAATTCATTAAATAAAGTTGAAGAAACCTTGTTTAAGTCATCACAAATGACCTTGATATTTTCATCAGTGGGGGAAACAAAATAAACAGCTGGAACATCGGGCAAGGGATCTCTATGCGAATTCAACAACCTATAATTTTTTGAGTAGAGCTAAAATTAGAAGAGAAAAAAAAAA